TTTTTTGCCAAACTGCAGCCCTCAGGAAAGAAAAAAATATGTGTGAGAGGTATAGTTTTCAATTTTTTTTTTTTTTTGTTTTTTCTTTTGACCTTGACTAATAAAGCAACATAAGCAGTAACGGTAGATGGACTTGACTTTAATGATTCAGAATAAAAACCTTTAGAAATTTAGATTTTGGCTCTCTTCATCAAGGGTGATGGGTATATCCAGTTTGTCAGAACGTTGGCAACAACACGCTGTCGAAAGCTTAGGAGCGTTCAGCATCAAATTTTAAACCGATTGAAGGATGTCCGTCTGTAAGTCTGTACGCCTGTCTACGTTCAAGACTGGAGAGGATTGAGAACCGTAGACGAAATCATAGACGCAGCAAGGAGACGAGAACATTTTTGGGCTTGAGTCAATAAAATAGCTTAGTGCACAATAACATCATAAGACGCATATAATCGCTTGTATCCAGTATACGTCCTTAATAAAAGAAGAAAAGCTATCGGCAGCAAGATTGGCAGTAACATTGCAAGCTCCTGTAAGAAGATTGGCATTGGAAATAAGACAAATTGAGCAAAGCACATGCCCACTGAACAGCACCAACTCTACATTATTCTCTTTCTCTAAGTAAAAACTTGTGGGGGCACAAATTTCCGTAGTTACTTTTGCGGAGGACCCTATTTATATAGTTAGGTGGGAGCAAGGGTGGGACTTAAATGGTTCAACAATGAAGTGCCAAGGTATACAATGACTAAAAACATCGGGCTTCCTTGATCGCTTTAGTATGTAGATCTTCCTTTTCTGAAACGTTTCAAAATATTTCCAACTTATTATGAATTTATTTTTTTTTTTTTATTATCCTGCAATAATCGTAGTTTATCATTCCCAATAGCATGGCACTCTGACGTACAAGTTTTTTAAAATATTTTTTTGCAACATATCTTCCGCATAAATTAAGTACAGAGACATTGTTCAGGGCATAACCTGAACAAATGTTAGCAATCATTTACAGCCGTAATGTATACATCTGTCAAGATTTTTTTACAGAAAAAATATTATTTGAAAAAAAAGGAAATGAAAGTGAAAGTGAAAGCCTTAAAAAGCCTTAAGGTAGATTTTACAATTCCCAAAATAATAATGAAATGTTTTCTATTTGATCGCGAAGCACCACATGACGTCTCACAAGCAATGAATACTGAATCAGTGAATCTTTTTTATTAAGTACTTGATTACAGCCAAAGTCTAAAGCAATTTTGTATCCTTCTAGTGGTGCAAGTGATTACGCAAATTATAGACCATAAATCAATATTGAATGACATTTAAGACATATGCAATCATTTGAAATGTTAGCCTGGAGGGTGTAGTGATTCGTATCGAACCTACATATTGTAAACTTCTTAACAGATGTGAAGGAATAGCTTAATATGAAATAGTGTTAAAAATGCTACACGGAATTTTGTTAACAATCATCGAATAAAATAAGTACTCTCATGATACCCTACACCACTTCTAGTGCCGGGTATATTAAATTTGTGCGGAGGACGTGAGAGAGATCGATCTTTTGTTGTACTGATCGATTTAAAATCATTTTCTAAGCTTGTCTGTCCATTTGTTCGTCTGTGTGTCTGTCCATACATCCTTGTGTTCGAACTACATGTCGCGGGTTTCGCGATATCTTGATGAAATATGGTGTACTGTTCTTGACCTTGGACCACCGCTATTGAAAATGGTTGCGATTGGACCACACTTTCGATCACTTCCTACATAACTAGTTATTTTGATAGGTCATGGTAAGATAAAATACTGTAGTTTTTAAACTTTCGCAACAAAAGTTAGGCACTAATAGTATCTCGGCATCTTATATTGGTGTGAACAATATGGATCCAATGAGGTAATTTTTTGAAACTCCTGATACATAAAGGTTATTATGGGCACTGAATCTTTATGCCGTAAAAAGACCTCAATTTCAATATTTCTTAATGAGAATTTGTTCATAATAATGATTTGACATTAACCACAATCTTACCGAACTTGGACGACATAGCTCTGTTTTCTGGATCCTACCTCATAAAACGATTTCAATGAAAAGTAAACCCGTGTACGACAAAAATGACCAATGTTTGGTATTTTATGATGAAAATTGGTTCGTAAGACTAATTTGATGTAAAAGTTGCATCAAATAGGTCTGTTACGAAGATCCAACTGTACGAAGGGGCTCTCATGAAAAGCAAACACTTCTGTGACCAATAAGTTCAATCTGTAGTTTGTTGGGATGGAAGAAAGTGGGAATTACTAACACTTTTGACAATTGAATTGAGTTTGCTAAATTTGAACCACGTTAGTTGACTTTTTGAGCGACCTTCAATGTGAGGGCTTTCATGAAAATTATGGCTTCACATCATAATAATGTATAATTTTTAAAGTATTATCCCCAAAGTGAACGAGTATCTGCATTAAGTGAGATGATGTAATCGGCCTTGGCCGACTATCATTACCACTTACGAAGTATTTGCTTCAATGGTGTGCCACACCATAATTTGTGCTTCAATTTCTTTTTAAGTAGGTGAACTAAGGTTTGATTAAAAATTTAAGTATACAGTTGGCTCATGAAAAATCATTCTTTTTAGGTGGTATTGTTTCATTCAGCCAAATTCTTATTTATTTTCATGTGTACAAATGCAGATAAGGATCGCAAGCTTCTGTTGCCGTAATATTACAGTTAATGACTTTCCGAAACCATACACTGAACTGAATTGCGATCTTTTGATGAAAACAGTTTTAGTTTTCATCATCGGAAAATGAATTCAGTTTTAATTGAAAGCAATGTTTACTATTATCGCATACTTCAGTCAATACTCAACTTGGTTTTGAAAATATTTGGATCAATTAATACTTTTTAATTTAGTCCAAATGTGGAGAAGGAAATTTAGTGTAACGAATATAATCTCAAAACATTCCTGACCATACATGATCTTAAAAACTTAAGGAACAAAGCCATTATAAAATATTCAAATAAGCAAATGATCTTAGTCTGCGATAGAGACTTTAGGGTATGGTAGAAACGAAAGAAGAAATTCATAGTAACTTTCGCGAAAGTCTGACAATATTATGGTTTACACTGACAACTGTCTCCACTTTTCCATGTTAAAAACTTTACATTCGATTTTTCCTAAAACACTTACATATACCGCGGTTGCTTCCCTCGACTCAATTAATTCGCAACGTTGGTCTACGCCACAGCGAGATTGCTGCCTTATGGAACGTAAGGACTTATCAACTTTAATTACTCTCAACAATCAGTCAGAAATGACACAGTTCGACTTAATTAATATTAATTAGACTAGATTCGTGCTTGCAAATTGATCGACATTATTGATCGACAAACACGGACAACCAAAAGCGTGTTAATGACGACCAAATTATATATTCATGTTTATACTAAATTATAAACAGCTTCGTTTCAAGCACTAGCAACAAAAACAAACACATATTTTCACAAGCAATCACATGCTCACACCGTTAGCTGTTTTATATCGATCACCGATTATTGATCTTGTAAAAACGTTTTCAATGCCCAGAAAGACGCTTCAGCCACCACACAGAGTATCTATATTGTTGAGCAACATCAAATTCTGAATGGATGTCTGTCCGCCTGTATAGTATACTTTTTCCTGGCTGCAATAGTGAAACTAACGAGTTCAAATTTGGCAGAAATATTGGAAAGTTTTGCACGCAGTCTGGTATTGGAACTGGGACAAATCGATCGAAGGGCACGCCAACAGTACTCCGTAAAGTGAGGACATCAGTGTTTGTTAGCAGGAATAAAAATTGTTGTTTGCCCATTACTCATAAGCTAGAGCAAATAAAGCTTCAACAAATTCCAACAAGTATTCTATGGGCGATGCTGCAGTACCTCTATGGAAATGGAAGAAATCTGTCCCGCGTACTCAATTTTATAGTTTGTGACAATTTCATCTTTTTCTCAAAACCTTATATATAACGCACAGAAGCAAGCTATATAAATTCTTAACCAATTTCAAATTCAAATGCAATCCCTCTATGGGAAGCATTCTCCTGTTGACCGTAATGAAGATATCGCTTACAAACTTGACCCAAACATCTCAAAGAACACGGCTACAGCACCCGCACGTGTATGTAACAAATTTTCTTAATTGTTACCATTCTTACACAATCTACACCTCTTATGGTGAGTGTGTATATTGGGTTTGTGCGGGTATATATTATGGAGCACCCAAAACGCTGTGTAGATATTATACCAACCAAACACAAATCGCGTGCTTAACCTGTTTGCTGATCCGTGTCCGCTCGTCCGTTCATCCGCTTACCTGTTATATATGTATGAGGAGCTTTGCGTTCCACGTACAATTTGTAACTTTCGAGATATTATGATGAAATTGGATGCGTTGACCCAAAGCCGAAGAAATTTGAGAATTTCCATGACCACATTCCATGAAACGTTCTGCTTTAAAAAATTACAAATCTTGATAAAGCCCGAAAAACGTAATAAGTTAAACCGCGTAGTTCTATTTCTTGGTCCTTTTCCCATATGAAGCTTATCTATTATTTCATCCAACCTTTACAAAACTCACGCATGAAGTCAGCATCTGCACCAGTTTGAATTGAAAGGAGACACGGGTTAAGAAGCATCCACAGATTTCGGAGACACAGAATATATGTATAAGTGCTATGCCTCGGCTTGCAACCCTGTGGCATACTTTGTTCACTTAAGTATTTCGAGTTTGGCTACAAATAATTGTTTTCGGAAGATTAGTCGAAATTAGCAGATAAGCATTTTTCCATCTACCTCTGGTTATGTGCATGTCATACAGCGGCATCGAGATTAATAGGATAAATACTAATTGGGGTTTTTTCATTTCCACATGCGATGGGAATATATAGTAACAGTAATTGCTTCCTGCACTCTAAACGATAAATAGAAGTTTTCAACTATCAGATTCGCCAGTAAATTTTTGTGACTCAAAAGAAGCGTAATGAAGTTCTTATCCACTATAACGGTAGTAATTGCAGTTTTATTATTTGTGCAAAGGCAGTCGGCTGAACGTTACCGTTTCGTACATGACGAGCCCGAAATATACAGAGACTGTCGTCATGCACCAGAAATGTTAGGTTTCAAACAGATGGCCGATATGAGTGATTTGGAGATAATTTTCAATGACGAAGGACTTTATGTTAACGGAACTGCTACCGTTGTTTGGGATGTGAAACAAACTGATCGTATAACGGTAAATTTTCCAGTTAAAAATCTTGCACGCTTTTCTTGATTAAAGGTTTTAAAAACGATGGATTCGATGGGTTCAGTTTAGAGGATGATGGTATCAGGGAAGGACGATATTATGGGTAAATTTAAATGCACATTTGTTGGATTCGAGAATTGAGGTGCATTAGAGGTGCGACCAGATAGAAAACATAATTTCGGAAAAACGCGACTTATTAATGTTCGATTTTAGATAAAAGTCTTACGTGGGTATATAAGGACCCACTCAAGCTTGGAACATGTCAAGTATATATGCGTATTACCCCAAACCAAGAATGCATGTCTCTTTGGAATCTCTACCAATCTACTTGCGACACCTAAATAAACTGTTTAGGACATCATCTGGAGGATGTGCCTAATTAACGGGAAATTTCGTCAGTGGGCGTTATAATTCTTACAAATGAAGCGATACCTTTAAAATTTTTAAATCACAGGCATAAAATAAGTTTGAAGATAAATATCCGTCCATACACGAAAATGACAAACAACTCTAAACGTTAAACAAAGACGTACGACTTTACTGTGGTCGCAGCTAGAATCAGTGCTTACTAGGTAAAGGGATAACACTTCACTCTGTGGGGGGCCACCCACTACTCTGTGAGCACCATGTTCCTATCGCTTTCTGTTCCTTGACTTCTTTCTGTACCAATAGGGAACATTAACCCAAATTCAAAAGAAAAGAACATTCGAGCTATAGCAGCTGGGGTGCTCTACTGCCTATCGATTTAACATACTTAAGCTGCTGTACTCCATCTCCGTCCGTTTGTTGTCATCAATGTCTGTCCGTCCGTCTCTAATTCAGTTAGACTGTCAGTTTATATATACAATTCTGCAGGATCTTAGCTATGATTGAGGATTGGCCAAAAGTGGCTTTGTTCATTTTTCTTAAATTATTTTTTTAAATAAATAGTTTCATGCTTTTTGGAATGGAAGAAACGCTAATAAAACAATAACATTCGAGAACACTATTAACCCCATGTTCAAGTATTAGATGCAAAATTTATTTTTGAAAAATATGTAAAAATGGCAACACCGACATCGAATTATTGCGAAGCATCTTTAATTGTTAAGGCTCTATGGAAAGGAGTTTAGTTGAAAGCAAGAATATAAAAGACACTGACGTTTTAAAATCGTTCTCAACCCCATTGACATTTTATTTGGAAATGTATTTAAATGAATCGTGAGAACGTTATCTAAACACGCTTTCCAATGTATTCAAGATCCTAGAAATCAACAGTCCAGACATTCGCCAGCGTCTTCTTATTAGAGACTTATTTGAACTAATTATGAAAGTGAGAATTATTTATTTTTTACAGGTACATGCAGAACTAGAAAAGTTCAGCCGTAGCTCCTGGCAGCCAACCCCTTTCGGGATGTTTGTTGAGGATTTCTGTAAGGAAATGACAGATCCTAATTCAAAAATTCACAATGTCTGGGTGAGACATATTTTCCCAGAGGATCGCCAATGTTTCGAGAAAGGAGTACGTTCCGTCTTCTAATTCTAAGTTTAAAATTCTCTCAATTATCTTTTAAATTTAGACAAGGTATCGTCACGAACCGTTCGCAGGTGTAGTTGAAGTGGAGGTAAAAAACTACGCGTTTAAAGGCCGCTACAGAGCCGTTGAAAACTTGCGTGTATATGATGAGAACGGTAATCTGAAACCTGGTAAGTCAGCCTGTCTGGAAGTTCCAGGCGACTTTATGAAAGTCAAATAGCGAGCTAAAACTAGGAGATAAGAATTCTACATTTGGGAGAATTCTTTCTCACTTTATCCGACCCTCTTGGTCATCTTAATTTTATTGAAGTGTTTTTAAGCATTACATCAGTTTTGTTCAATTTCTTTTAATTTTACGAAGATAATAAATATTTGTTTTTTCTTACGGCCGAAGATTATTATGAAAATTCATTTTTGGAAACTTCGACTACACTCATGCTAAGCTGGCAGTGGCCAGTGGCCTACCAATGGTGCTTTATACAGCATAATAGTTATTCATGTAACGACTTTTCAAATTAAAAGCTCGTCCGACGCGAACCGTTTTCAATAGTGTTCGTTCCGTGTCCAAAAATACATCAAACTGTACATTGAAAAAATACATCACACATACGTCAGACAGACGGACGGATACCTAACATTAGAATCATTTTCTGGTTTGATCGCTTCTGGGTTGAAAGATCCTTCTGCATGTTGCGTACGCATAACTTCAATACACCCTTGCATCACAAATATTGTAGGGTATGAAAAGCTTTAACTATATTGTAAAATAGTTACTAAATTGAAGTACAGAGTGCAACAAATGTGATCTTGAATTCAGGATAGAAAGCAATTTTCTTAATTTGATCAGGCATCGTGACTGTTCTCCATTTCGCCAAAATGCAGCACAATGCACAAGTTAATCCAAGAAACCATTTATATACAGCTCATGGAGTTGACCGCCGATTAATGTTAGGTATAGGAGATGAACTCACAGCTGACAGATCGTGGGCCATAGTCAAGGATTTTACAACTTAATGGACTGTCCGATAACCCATCGAGTCAAATCACTGGAAATTAGTGCCTGTCCTTCTCTCCTCCGTACCTCTTGGACAATTCGAACGCTTCAAAACATCGAACTCGGCGAGAGTCGGGTTTATTTTGCGAAGTGCTTCTATATATCTAATCCCAACCCCAACCGCCTATGATAGGTAAGAAAATAAAACTTGCCGTCTTACACTGTAAGAATGAATGCTTTTTAATACAGATTACGATACCTCAATATGATGTAACAAAAACATTTCCCACTAATGACTTCAACGTAAACATTCCTGTTTCTTTCAAAAATAAGAGAGCAAATTATGTAATATTACATCATTTCACTTACCGCGTAAAAAGGAAAAAAAATTGTCGAAATTTTCCGTAAGCTGACTAATTCAAGGACCAAGCAATGAGATAGGGTGGAGAAAACAAGAAGAAGGCAGGGAAAGAATAAATTCATAACTTGCTCTGTGAAATGTAATAAAAATTAAAATTTTCATAATTTTTTTTTTATGAGCAGACTTTTATTAAGAAAACTCTTGCGAAAAAATGTAAAAATAAAAAAGGAAATCGCGTATACAGCCACCTGAATAATAAAATGCATTGCGGCCTCCGTTTGGTGGAACAGACAGACGGTGGGTGCGCAATTTACAATACAACGCGAATAATATATATCCACCCGTTACACGAAGCTATCGTAGATACATCGTTACATGATGACTTTACCGCTACAAGATAGTTGGTTGTCATTGTCAGACTTTATGACAGTGTTCATTTGTAATACTGATATTAAAGAATTGCTTGACTTGAGAGAGATATTTCAGTTATCCATTCACTCACTTACTAGCCTTTCTACAGAATTTTCGCAGTTAATACCACCCATACACATACGTACAGATGCATATAGATTTATTTATGAAGGGATTGTTGCCCTTGGCTACAATTTGCTATGAGTTTTTTTTTTTCTTCTATCTCTCTCTCTCTCTCTCTCTCGTATTATTATGAAACATTGTACAGTAATAAAATATCAAATGACAATGAAAAGCTCTTTACAAACAAAAGAGTAATAATAATAATAATAATAATATAAAGAAAAGTAAATTTTATCTACAGTGAAAACTCTAAAGTAAAGAATAATTGAAATATTTTTAGAAATATTCAACAATAATAAATTAAATGATTCTTGTTTTGAAAATTTTGAAAACAATATTCGGAAAATTAAAAAGCCTTGAAACGAGTAAGAGAACTGAAGTACCCGCAGTTACCCCAAAGCGAAAACATAAATATGGCTTTGACTTGGGACGCCCAATAATGCTTTTTCCAAGTCGCGGAAAGAATACGTCTTTCGAACTTATTTCATTAGGTCGCTCTACCCATCCACCCATCACCTAAGCGAATGTCGGTGCGCATGACACTTTCCAGAGCAGGGGTAAGAAAACGTAAGATATTGAATGGGAAATTTGTGGACTTTATTGTGAACAACTTATCCTCAAGAGTAACCGAATAGGTAAGAGTCACAGTCACAGGGCGATTATCCTCGGGTTTCAATTTGAGTTCGGTATAGTTTACAGTGGTCGTAGCTATAGTGGTCTGTTGGTGAAGGCATAAAACTTACTGGTTGAGCACACACCGGACACCTCAAATCTGGTTCCCTTTCTTCATTTCTTTCCGCTCGCGCTGCACGAATAGGCGATATCTTCTAATTAGCCGATCATATTAAAGAAAAAGATAAAAAAACTGACTGCCGTAGCATACACTGAGTTAATATTTGTATTTAGCGAAACCTCGGCTTGGGCCAAAAACGAATCCAGATGATTTCAAAGGACTTTCGACCCATGATGATGAATACATTAGATATATAGTCTTGACCCCTAGTGGTCTTCCTACTCCGTAGACCTAGAATTTCTTTCTTTTAGTCAGTTAAAAACAATTAAAGAGCACTGCTCACCACCTTTTCAAACAAGGCGTTGTATGAGAAACAGATCCGATCCGAAGCTTTTTGTGTTAGCGTTCGCCCTTGGATTAGCGTATTAAAAATGGCGGCTCTACTTGAAGTTCAGAATTACTTTCTGAATCCACCTATATAATAAAAGGCGGGTCTATATCAAGCATCGTTGCATATTAATATACTCTTGCGTCACAATGTATAAAATATATTTATACTTGGAAAAATATTTTTATATTAAAAGATGTCGAATTTTAATCCCTTTTACCTCCTAATTTTTCTTTTTTTTCGCTTACCATTAATGCCTTAATTAATTTGCCAAAAAGTCATCAAATTTAAGCTCAAAAGGAAAAGCATTTAGAGCGTTAAATAATACAAGGTCGAAACTGGCTCGATATGGGAGTCGGTGGAGAAAATATCTCGGTGGTTAAAATTGCTTAGGTCTTGGGAGGATGTTTGTAGGTGATTTGAGTCATTGAGCTTTTAAAGATTGTAATCATTCACAAAGGAATGACAAGAAATAAACAAACCGAATTGAAATGTCATATCGAGATTAGTTCATGATTTTTATTATTGAAGAAACGCGATATAAAATTTGCTTCTCGGGTCGATGGTTCTCGTTAATACGAATGAGATTGATGTGGAGGATGACTGAAAGCAAAATAACTATCGAACTTGTAGCTTACGAGAGCTCGATAACGGGAATGATAAACCGAGCACAGAGTAGCATTACAGCTCAAAATTGCCTTAATAAAGACTTGACAGTACCTTGTAAGGAATTACAAATTCTATTTATTGCAAAACTCATTTCAAACTAAAGGAAGAACAGGTTACTTTCAAAAGTAATTTAAAATACGGTTAATATGAAATAATTCTCAACTATTTAGAAAGAAATAATCTGATACTTATTAGACAAGACGTTAAAGTTGGACAAAAATATGTTTGCAATACATAACATTTTTAAAGCAAAGCAGCGGAATATTTTACATAAGATATATGAGAACAGAAAACTTACTTAATGGTGATACCTTTTTGAGGTTAGGTACGTTTCCGTGGTGGCGGATTTCTATCGCTTTGATTTAATATTTAAGAAGTTTTCATATTCTCTTCTACTTAGAGTCGAGAGTGACAACTAGATTATGGCTTACCGCCTATCCGCTTCACTTGTCCACGTGGATTTTGCACTTTCCTCCCTGCAATTTTTTTCCCCGTTTTTTTTTTTGCTTGCATGTGTTTTCATAAAAATAGAGCTTATTAAGTAAAACAAACCATTTGCCAAATGTATTGGAAACTCGCAATTATGTGGACAAACTATCTTTGGTCATATGGAAAGTACTCATGTGAGTTGACCAGTTAAGTATAAAGGAAGGAAGGAAGTATGTAGCAATTTGATAACATTATGCTTGGAGGACTTTATTCAATACACATGTATTTATTGAAATCATTTGATTTGATTTAGCGAAGTATCAGCATTCGTTGTCGACTATTGTTCGGAGAAGGCGTTGTTAACAATTTTTTCCTCTTTCCGTGCGTCAAAACAACTCTTTGCGGTATTATCCTTAGTTTTTGTTTTTTTTTTTTTTCGTTTCCTCAGCATTTTTGGTTGTAACGCTTCTCTGCGCATAAGAACTTGATTTTTTTTTTTTTTTTTGCGTCTTCTCTCTTCTGCAGTTTAAAAATCTCTTGAGAATTGTGGTTGATGGTGAATGAATGGATGGATGATTCCATCATTTTCATACTGTAATAGTCGAGGTTTCGTTTACTTTTAAATCAACTCGTGCGTAGCTTACTTTAATTTTTTTCTTTCTTGCTTTGTGAGCAGCAAACACAAAAGCATAACATATGGCCAGATTCATAAAGTAGCAAAATATCTTCTCTTTGGTAAAGTATAAATGCATTTACTTTGCTTCAAATAAAATCGAAATAGAAATAAAGGTAAAAAAAGTAAAAGCAAAATTTAAATAAAATTGGAATGGGAATCAACTGAGAAACATGCAAAACTTAAATTTGAATTGAAATGGTATCGAATAAAAATTCATTGCTTAGCATGAGATCAATCCGAATAGCATAGAAATAGAATTGAAATCAAGTTACAATTAAGGGGATGAACTACGGTAGATTTTTCAAAAATCGATTTTTTTTTTTGTTTTAGCTAATAGAGTCTTTGGACCTCGTGGAATAGATGGGAAAAAATTTATTTCCCGCGAACGATTTTTTCCTTGAAAAGTTGCAGCTATCGCCCGAGCTGCACCACAAGA